GACAATCCCACGGAGTATAGGGCTTTGGTGGGGGAGTTGAACTACCTAGTGACGAACACGCGGCCTGACATTTCGTATGCATTGAGTGTTCTGCCCCGGCATATGGCCGCACCCACGAAGACTGCCATGAATTTGGCCACTGGCGTTCTGCGTTACCTGGCGGGTACTCGCGAACTAGGATTGCGTTTTGGGGGTGTTGGCGACATTGAGATGTCCGGGTATAGCGATTCTGACTGGGCAGGAGACCCGGTTACACGGCGTTCTACTTCCGGTTACATATTCACTCTTAATGGGGCTGCAATTAGCTGGTGCAGCCAACTGCAGCGTACTGTGGCGGCTTCGTCGGTGGAGGCCGAGTATCAAGCTACAGCGGCAGCTGTTCGCGAAGCTTTGTGGCTTCGCAAGCTGATGGTCGATTTGGGGGTGCCTGAGAGCGCTATCAAGATTCAAATAGATTCCCAGGGGGCGCTTAGCTAGGAAGCAACCCGATTACGTCTGCTCGGTCGAAACACATTGACGTGCAGCATCACATAGTACAGGAGCGAATTAATAGCGGGGAGGTGCAGTTGGAATACTGCCCTACGGAGTGGATGGTTGCGGATGTGCTCACAAAGGCTCTGGGCAAGGCGAAATTCAAACGTTGGCGAGATGTGATGGGCCTTGTGTGAAGCGTGCTGATGAACCTGGTACTCGTTGGGATACGTCCCGAGGGGCATGTTAAGGAAACGGTCCTTATTCCAACTCGTGGTAACTTGGTGGCAAGGGGATTTCACCCTGAGCCCTTGTGTGACTATTGGGGAGACTTAACCCTATACCTTATGGAACGGCCGATGTATATCCGGTGGTTAAGTGGTGGACATTTGGGCACCGTCAGGATGATGCAGCGAGATCACGGAATGTACGAGGGCGACCCATGAGTTTTCCGCTGGCGCCAGCATTTAGGGCGGTGACTGCGCATGTCTCTCTCTCTTCTCATACAGAGCGGCATTCCTCTTCCAAAATAACAGTCAGCATCAGCTGCCACCGCAGTCGATTCTCCAATAGATTCTGATCCGAAGCGGCAAATGTAGTGCTGCTGCCAAGTGCTGGCGGGGTAGACTCAGGGGACATAGTCCTGTCCATGCGCCTAGTTGCGAGCCCCTTAGCATAGGCCTTGTGATCGCGTTCAGGGATCCATCATAACACTCATTCATTTGGTATGCTGCAGTACCATATGCAGTTCCAGCATGGATCGAGCATGTGATTGTAGATATGTTGTAGGTATAAGTGCTGGCATGGTGGACCTGACCTCATATGTGTGTCTGCCCGAATGGGAAAGTGGTCTGCTGTGAGAATCGGGCTCTAGCGAGATGTGGCCCTAGGTTTTTGTTGGGCATACCTCTGTTTGAAGGCGCCCTTAAGAACGGTTTAAGAATGCTGGGGGACGGAATGCTTGAGAACACTGTAACAACGCTTGAGAACGCTGCAAGAATACTTGAGAATGCTTTGAGAACGCTTGAGAATGTTGTAAGAACGCTTGAGAATGCTATAAGAACGCTGTAAGAACGCTTGAGAATGCTGTAAGAACGCTTAAGAATGGTGAGAGAACGGTGTAAGAACGCTTAAAAATGGTGAGAGAACGCTGTAAGAACGCTTGAGAACGCTGTAACAACGCTTAAGAATGGTGAGAGAACACTGTAAGAACGCTTGAGAACACTGTAAGAACGCTTAAGAATGGTGAGAGAACGCTGTAAGAACGCTTGAGAATGCTTTAAGAACGCTTAAGAATGGTGAGAGAACGCTGTAAGAACGCTTGAGAACGCTGTAAGAACGCTTAAGAATGGTGAGAGAACGCTGTAAGAACGCTTGAGAACACTGTAAGAACGCTTAAGAATGGTGAGAGAACGGTGTAAGAACGCTTGAGAACGCTTTAAGAACGCTTAAGAATGGTGAGAGAACGGTGTAAGAACGCTTGAGAGTGGTGAAAGATTGCTTAAGAATGCGTGAGAAAATGGTTTGAGAATGTCCTTGAGAACGGGTAAGATCGCTGAGAACGCTTGAGATTCCCTGCAAAGAGCGCTCTCTTGAGATCGCTTAAGAACGCTTGAGAAGGCACAATCTTAAAACATGGCAGATAAGAGCGTTCTCAGAACGCTCTTAACAGCGGCATCTACTTGTGCTTTATATGGCTTAAGATCGCGTTGAGAGCGCTCTTAAAGCGGTTTCATTTTGGTAGGGCATGCCGTATAAGGCCCGCTTGGTCACCAGTCAAACAACAAGTACAAATGTGCATTGCGGCTGTTTCGCAGCTGTATCGCAGACACTTTCATACATCTAAGCATATGTATAGTTAAACATGCCCGAGTCAACTGATGATGAGCGCCCAATCAAGGTGCCCCGCATCTCCCTCGGGATTCACGGCTTCGGCAAGCTCGAACCGCCTGTTTGCCTTCGATGTCAGCGAACTAGACGTTTTGCAGAAAGAGTTTTCAGTTATGAAGTCTAAGATGGCCTTGCTTTGGGTAAAATCCTTGCTGAGATATTTCTCCCAGGAGCTGTGTTCCAAAATAAAGTCACCTGCTAATTCAGCCATCCTAGCATATAACGATAGAATCCAGCTAAATTTTACCCCGAAAATTGCTTCAGACAGTTTTGGGGTACCCGAAAACACTCTCCGGCTGACAGGAAAATTTTCGGGGAGGGCCCCGAAAGGTTATTCAGAGGGTTTCGGACACGGCCGAAATTTTTGGGTACCCTGGTGAAGAACCCTGCTCAAGAGGCCTTTTCAGCGGCCAGCTACTACATGCTGTGTTCATAGATGTAGACTCTCAGGGGGGGCTAAGTCTCGGAAATAATCCGATCACTTCGGCACAGCAGAAACATGTCGACGTCCATCATTTGGTGCGAGAACGAGTTATGTGCGGAGAAGTTAAGCTGGAATACTGTGCTACTGAAAGCATGGTGGCGGACACATTCACAAAGCCTCTGCCGATTGCTGAACCCTCTGTCTCTGAGGATGTTAGGGTGAATGGATGAGGAGGGATCCTAGAAGGCAGGATCAACCGCCTTGGACTTCCAGTTCGTATGTAGTACAGTGTGGTAATGGTGGATACTGCTGTATGGTGTGATACATCGTAGAAATGACAATGTGTTCAAGTGGCCCAGAAGTCTCCCACTCTGTAAGAAACCAAACCAAACAAAACCAAACAAAACCAAACCAATCCAAACCAATCCAAACCAAACAAAACCAAACAAAACAAAACCAAACAAAACAAAACCAAACAAATTTGTTTGAACACGGAGGGGGGTTAAGAACGTTCTTAAGTCGTTCTTAGCCCAGCCAAATTGATAAAATCGAATAATCAGTAGAACGTTCTTACATCGTTCTAAGAACGTTCTAAGAACGTTCGTATGACCTCCGTTTATCTTAAAACCGTTCTTTCAAATTCTTTAGCATTCTTCAGGTCCCAGCAGTCTTATGTATTCTCTTCCATTCTTTGGGGTGTTCTTATACGTACTTAGTGATTCTTTCTCTAAAGCATACTTAGCTGCTCTCTGGCCGGTTTTAACCATTCTTACCATAGGTTTGCTAAGTATGGCACCCATTCTTAAGTCTCATTCTTAAGAAATAAAACCACTCTTTACCATTCTCTACGATTCTTTACCATTCTTTAGGGTCAGCAGTCTTATGTATTCTTTTCGTTCTTTGGGTGTTCTTATACATTCTTAGGCCAACTTATTGATTCTTTGCCTAAAGCATACTTAGCTGCTCTTTGGCGGGTTTTAACCATTCTTACCATAGGGTTTGCTAAGTATGGCACCCATTCTTGAATCTCATTCTTAAAAAATAAAACCACTCTTTACCATTCTTTAGCATTCTTTAGGGCCAGCAGCCTTCTGTATTCTCTTACATTCTTAGGGGTGTTCTTTTACATTCTTAGGCCAAATTATTGATTCTTTAATAAATAGGTGCATCAAGATTGTCATCGGAAAATTATATTGCCATGTAGCATGGAATGACATCATTTAACGAACAGCATGATATATAATCAATCGTTACATTTGGAATGACATGTATAAAATCTCAGTTGTGGGTATCAACCGTTTCCACATTTGTAACACAACCCCTTATACATTATGTGTGGGACAGGCGGGCATATCTACACCGGCGGTCGCTACCAGGTGAAACTCTGTCTACCCAGGTATTTCAGGGCACCCTCATCCAGTCACCCTAGCCGTCTTCTCAATGATTCACTCGGGTACATCTCAGGAGTGCTCCCACCACCGTCATCCAACGACATGTACATCTGCAAACTTAATGGCGGCTGGAGTCCATTCCTGGTCAGCTCTCATGTCAACATTATCCCAGGCCGTTACTGTTCATCAAATAGCGGCACTCTTACCTTCCACCATCGGTAAAACGTTTTACCTTGACTGGTGGCAATCCTGGAACCTCCGGAAGCGTCAGTGTATACACACATGTGTTACCAATGCTGCCTGCTAAGTTCATGACCTATGTATATATGTATATGTACGACACACCAGCACTAGTAGTACTACATGTACAGGAACTTGATGAACAATGCATAACAGCCATAAGGATATTCATACCATGTTATGAACACATGTGTACACAGTGGCTACTTAGCACAGCCTTTCATAAGCCCATGATGCATAGAGGGTTTAATAATTACGTATGGTCTACTACACCAATCAAACTGGCTGCCTTACAGCAGCATGAATTCAAGGCTTTGCAGCCATTTGCAATGGGCAACCATCCATCCTAGTGGGTCAAGCAACAACACCCATCACACAACAGCCTTTTAATACCATGGCTCGAGATATGTACATGTTGTAGCATGCATATGCATGTGCAGAAGGAGCAGGCATGCATGCCAACTCCATCCCGACACATAGATCAAACATTAATCATGATGCTAGTTAGCAGTATGTAGCAGGCCCTCAATTATACCGACCATCCCTCTGTACTTGTTTCCATGCCCCAGAAGTCACAACTACGTCTAACCCTTAATGTTGTTCCCCTTCAAGGCTGATGATATCTGCTTTGTACTGACGCCCAGGGTATCACACGCCCAGGGCACAGCATGTCTGCCCTTGTCGTTAGCCAGGATGCCCAGAACAGGCCAGGATACCTGCATATATAGGAAGTAATGAAAGCTTGTCAGGATACAGGAACTGCTGGTGGTTAATTAATGTCCTGTCGTTCCTTACTTTATCAAACATGGTCAAGGGGTAGTCCTTGATGGCGAGTGTCTTGGTAGGCTCAGGCAGGGTAAATTTTGCACGGTGGTGCAGCCCCTTCATCTTGCCAATGACCAGGATCTCAATGGTGTCCTCAATGGAAACCGATGCCTGCACCACCAAAGAATTAGTAAAACCGGATCCAACTGAGTAATCGGTTGCAGAAAAGGCCAAATTATATGTTGCAAGTTAGAACACAGAGTGTACAGCAATCTGCCATAATATATACTTGCCATGTCACTGAGCACCAAGCCCGCCCCAAGCACTGATGGTGTGCTCGGCTTGTCTTTGGAGCCGCCCACCAGATAGCAGCCAATCGTCTTGTCAGCCAGGTTGTACTTGTTGAGGTAGGACACGTGGCCGCCTGCCGACTTGTACTTGTCCATCTCCTCCAGGCTGTCATCCAGAAGGGAGGCCCAGCAGTAGGGGTCAGCAGGAGCAGCATTTCCTGGGCCCTGCTGCCGTGTTGTCCTGCTGTACTACCGCGGTGCCATCTTCAGCCGTGTCCAGAATATTATGATTAGGCACCTGGGCACCCTGCTGGGCAGGGGTTGGCTCATCACCTGCAGAGTCATGCATGACATGAATGCCCAGGTCAAATTGTAGGCAAGCAGGAGGGATGATGGCATGTTGAGGAGCAACTGACATTTACCATGCATGCACATATACATAGAGCTTGGGTTCCTGTGTACATACACATGTGCTGGCTAGCGCTATTGCACATGGATTGACTAGGTGCAGGCAGCGGGAGGCATCACATGTCCTGTTGTCACTCTGGGAAAACGGGGGTCATTTTACCCGTAATTTTGGGTCAATCCACCCGTAATTTGACAGATATTACGGGTCCGTAACACGTTACGGGTCTCGTAATTTGAGCACAAGGATACAGGTGAACATTTACGGGTGAAGACCCAGTGATTACGGGTGGATTTTACGCGGTGCTGGAGGTGAATTACGGGCGCATGTAACCAATTACACGCAGAATTACGGGTGAAGACCCAATGATTACGGGTGGATTTTACACGGTGCTGGAGGTGAATTACGGTCACATGTAACCAATTACACGCGAAATTACGGGTGAAGACCCAGTGATTACGGGTGGATTTTACGCGGTGCTGGAGGTGAATTACGGGCACATGTAACCAATTACACGCGAAATTACGGGTGAAGACCCAGTGATTACGGGTGGATTTTACGCGGTGCTGGAGGTGAATTACGGGCGCATGTAACCAATTACACGCGAAATTACGGGTGAAGACCCTATTGAAGAATTGGCGACGGTGACGGCTAACGCTGATTGTTATTCCGGAAGGATTGCCGGTGGCGAAGATATTTAGCACGATAAACTGTTACAAGTAATGTAAAGAGTATTGTTAGCGTTCGGCAGGACTTGAGGAGATTCCTTTGAGGAATACCGATCGTTGTGAGATAAACTAATAGGCGCAGTCACCGCCCTAAATACCGGCGCTAGCGGAAAACTCGTACATTCCGCGATCTAACTGCACGTACATTCCGCGATCTCACTGCGCCGTCCAGACGGTGCCCTAATGTCTATCACTTAGCTACCGGATATGCATCGGTAGCCCCATAAGGTTCTGGGGTAAGTCTTCCCCATTAGTCAGGCGCAGACCCGGGGTCAAATCCCCTGGTCGACAACCACACGAGTTGGGAGAGGACCGTTTCCTCAACAGACCCAGTGATTACGGGTGGATTTTACGCGGTGCTGGAGGTGAAATACGGGCACATGTAACCAATTACACGCGAAATTACGGGTGAAGACCCAGTGATTACGGGTGGATTTTACGCGGTGCTGAAGGTGAATTACGGGCGCATGTAACCAATTACACGCAGAATTACGGGTGAAGACCCAGTGATTACGGGTGGATTTTACGCGGTGCTGGAGGTGAAATACGGGCACATGTAACCAATTACACGCAAAATTACGGGTGAAGACCCAGTGATTACGGGTTACACAGGCAGATATTACTCTGCGATGTGACGCTTACTGCATGTTAAATTAACGATTGGTGAATACTTGCGGCAAGCCTCAAAATGGACGCACACCCCTTGTCAAAGTAGCCTAAGTCTCAGTGTGCTTGTGGACCAAGGCGCTTTGGACTCACAACGCCAACCAGCCAGCCTGACAGCCTGATGCATTCATCTCAACCATCGTCCTCGAAAACAGCGTTCATGTCACCCCCCATACAGCAAGTGCTCGCCAAGGAGTCTCACCACCACTTGCAGAGTTCGTGCCTACTCCTACGGATGAAACCCCCGATGCATGACATGTACCGGCACCTATTGGGATTGGTCTGTCCCATCCTGCCTGGGGCCGACCTGGTGTGTGCACCCCCAAGCGCTCATCACTGCTGCCATGTTACTGCTCACTTCCACCACTGTCGCTGCTGCCACTGCCACTGCTGCTGCTGCTAGCTTCGCTATATTTGCCCGGGTCCTCCGAGCTGGACTCCTCCCCAGCGCCAGCGGCTAGGACCTCTTCCTCACCAGCATCCGACCCACCCTCCGAGCTACCCTCCTCTGTCCGCCCCCTCCACCCTCCCTTGCCTGCGCCGCCCTTCCCCGCACCTCTGGTGGTCCCCTTGCTTGCACCCCTGCCCCGGCCTGCGCCCTTGTTCCCCTTCTGCCGTTTATTTCCAACCTTGCGCCCCGACCTCGCACCCAGGTCGTCGTCATCACCGCCACCCCGCCTGCGCTTGCCAGCTGCGCCCTTAGCTGCTCTTGGCACCTCGCCGACCCACTCCTTGAACGCATCGTAGTTGGTGGTATCCTCGTCCTGTGGTGGGGAGGGCAGCAACACCCAGTGCTTACGTTCAAGGTAAAATATCAGGGTAAGACCCAACAAGCTGCCCTGACATTGAAAGTTGACATAACCCATCAGCACCCCTCGACCTTGTTAAACATGCTCCCCAGGTTCCAAAAGGGTTACAAGGCAGCCCTGGTTGCAAGCAGTCTGGAAACGAGCAAACACTCCTCACCTGAATTGCATCGTTCTCTCCAGACACCAATGCCTCCTCGGCTCCTCCGCCTGTGTTGCTGTCCACGCGCCCTGTCCCGCGCCCAGTTCTCCCGCCGCTGCTGCGTCCACGCCCTCGACCACCACGCGTGCCAGCGGCGGTTCCGGATCACCAAGGAGTCTCACCACCAGCAAGTGCTCGCCAATGAGTCTCACCACCACTTGCAGAGTTCGTGCCTACTCCTACGGATGAAACCCCCGATGCATGACATGTACCGGCACCTATTGGGATTGGTATGTCCCATCCTGCCTGGGGCCGACCTGGTGTGTGCACCCCCAAGCGCTCATCACTGCTGCCATGTTACTGCTCACTTCCACCACTGTCGCTGCTGTTGAGGAAACGGTCCTCTCCCAACTCGTGTGGTTGTCGACCAGGGGATTTGACCCCGGGTCTGCGCCTGACTAATGGGGAAGACTTACCCCAGAACCTTATGGGGCTACCGATGCATATCCGGTAGCTAAGTGATAGACATTAGGGCACCGTCTGGACGGCGCAGTGAGATCGCGGAATGTACGTGCAGTTAGATCGCGGAATGTACGAGTTTTTCCGCTAGCGCCGGTATTTAGGGCGGTGACTGCGCCTATTAGTTTATCTCACAACGATCGGTATTCCTACCAGGAATCTCCTCAAGTCCTGCCGAACGCTAACAAATACTCTTTACATTACTTGTAACAAGTTTATCGTGCTAAATATCTTCGCCACCGGCAATCCTTCCGGAATAACAATTAGCGTTAGCTGTCACCGTCGCCAATTCTTCAATAGGTTATGAGCCCCGCTTAGCGCCGACAGTTATCGCCCAATTGTTATTTCTATCCCTCATCAACAATGGTTAAGGACAAGCTTGATGAGTCGCTGGATCTCAACAACTACTCTACCTGGCAAATTCGATTTAGCGCGATGTGCATGGAGCTTGGGCTTGAGCAATCCCTGCTCGCCGAGCCGTGCAACGAGGAGCAGATTCGACAGTCACGGAAGGTCATCAATCTGCTCATCAAGAACGTCAAGGATCATCATTTGCCGATGGTTACCGGTGCTGCCAACGCGAAGAAGGCCTGGGACGCCTTGGGATCTATGTTTGCTGCCAACAACAACGCCCGCAAGGTGTCTCTACGTCAAGAATTCAGCCGTTTTAAGATGGTCGA